ATTTATTGTAGTTATAAATCTGTAAACACGATATTGAGATTCTGAGACTGAATGAAGTATCAGGAAATTGCAGGTTTAAATAAGTTTCGTAGTTCATGTTAACGAACATTGAAGATCTCCTTATGTTACACTGCACCTTCATAGCAGATATGAAGTGGTTAAGGACTACGGGGAGGCATCATCTGTCATGTCTAACTACGTCACCGCTATCTCATCTCACGAAAGGATGAGATCTTGTGAGTAAAACTAATCCTTTAGGACATATGCATACATATATGTATAAAAGAAGGTATAACTTCAATTAGGAATAATTTCTTATAGGATAGTTAGTGAATCTTTTCCATTATACTACTATTTTTATTTTATTACATATACATATACTTGTTCGCAATAGATCAACTCTTCTGCGTATAGTAAGCGCATCTTTACCTAGGATTCAAATAAAGGATTGGTATTTTGCGTTTGTGATGTAAGATTGAAGATGATTAAAATAGCTTTCCGCTCGAGAGGCCTCCCTGGATAGCTCAACGTGCAACGATGATAAGAACCAACCGCGGAGAACATATATGCTGAATTATGAAAGCTGGCGCCACAGATAATCGATTGCGGAAATAGCTTTCCACATAGATGGATACCTAAAAAGGCAAACCTTTCTCGGTCACTTAATACCTTGCCTTCTATAAACAGCTTTAGATTTTCTGTAATAAATAGTGCAGTAAGATAAATAAGAGGATCAATATAAAAGAACTCTCCGTCCGTCCTTTGTGAAATCAATTAATGAATCTGATTGACTCGTGGAGGAATATTATTCTTTCCGGATTTAATTAAGAGATTTTATTAATCTTCCTTACTTTCAGATTTTATTAATATTAATATTCATCTAATGACATATCTATCGACGATTGAAAAATTTCAATGAACAAAATCTTTGAATATCTCTTTCTTACGTTAATTAATTTTCTTAAGCTGCTTTAATTAACTTCAAAATTTAATATATAAAAAATTTAGTTAAATCGATTCCAAATTTAATCTAAGAATTTTATTGTTAATAGGAACTAGGAACGATAAAAGTTGCAAAGTATCATTTTTACTGAAAATCTGACATTGTATATAATAAATTAATCAAAAAATATATAATAATATAATTTAGTCAATTGAATTTTTAGAATTTTATAATGTGGTTCTGCAAATGTTTTAATGTATTAAGCATTACGTAGAAAAATTGATTTTTTATAATTATTCATTATTTTTTATATAAAATATTCTTAAAACAACTTTATTATAGATATAAAAACTGTTAATAATAACATATTTCTTATATATCGCTATCAAAATTTATTTTAAAAATATTTTTTTAAATTTATAACAAGCGAATTGATTTATTGTTGCCTGCTGCACTTCAATATGAGGATAATGATTGATACTATCGGTTCTAATTTGCTTTGCACAGAAAATTCAAAGGAAATATCGTATTTCTTTAACAAATACACGGATTTTATTACGTCGAAATTATATACCGTTTTTGTTATCAAATTAAAAAACAATTCACTTCATTGTAAACACTGTTTACCTTGTAATAGAATTAAATCTTCAAAAAGCGTGTTAAAAAAAAAATAATTGTCAGGTGATCTGACATTTATAAATTTATATAAAAGGAAAAAAAGAAATTTTATTTCAATTTAAATATAAAATTTTATTTTTTTTAATTAATATTATTTCCTTAAAAATTGAATTTTTGGCGTCTATATATTTATTGTTAACGCTTTTATCATCAAAAGACTTAGGATGAAGTCTGCTTTAATTGAGATATCAGTCAGAGAATTAAAAACTTTTTTAACATTTCTAACTCATACAATAGTTTACAGTTGGAAAAGTGAAAAAAGCTATATTTTGCTTAAGTAAACTATGAAGGTAAAAATGTTGAAGCAAAATGTTGAAGGTTGCACGTAGTTTTCAGAAAAAACTATCAAATAGGTAATGGATAATGGATATGTGATTTCAGTGAACATCTTACAATATTTGTATGATGATGTCTTTATTATTTTCCATGTTTAAAAAGAAACTTTTGATATCATTCTGTCTTTTTATAATAGCATTTAACATTGCAAAATATGGTGAAGAAATACATACCTTATTAAATAAACACCGATTGAATATTTACTATGTAACAGAATCAAATTATTACGAAACATATCGAACAAATAAAAGATTAACCGCGTATGTTGGTATTCCATAAAAGAGTGAAAAAAGCCTTAATTGGCAGACCATATGACCAGCTCAAAGCACGAAGTTCAAAGGATCCATCTTTTCCTTTGAAAAAGGAATGCCAAAACGTATCATTTTTATTATATAGAGCTAGTCTGAACTACCGCAAGACGGATCGGCTGTTCCCCGAAGCTTTCCGAAGAAAAATCTAACCAACCCTCCCATTCAATTGCCCTCCTGCGAAGGCAGAGGAGTTAGAGCAATTTGTCTGAAACGTCTCCTTATAAGCCACGAAGTGTTGAAAAAAAAGCAATAAAAGAGTGAGCGTGTTCTCTCAACTATGCACTGAATTATGCTTTAATTTCAATGACTCAATACCAAAATTGGGCAAATTTATAAGTAACAAATAATGAATAATAATGATTATTTTATTTAGGAATAAAAAATAGCTTACCATAAAATAAAGAAATAATAATATAGATAATTTCTATTTAAGCAAATTTATTCGTTTTTTCTGATATTAAAGTGTCTTTATGAAAAACTGACTAAAAAACTGGCAAATAATGTATGTTAAATCATCAATACTAAAATTGCACACGTTGAATTCTATAATTGACAATTAGATCATTCAATATTTGTATTGAAGTAATAATGAACGCGAGTTAAAGATTTATTATGATTTTACACGAATAAATGTTTTTGAAATTCAACGCTATATCTTAGTTTATAATTATTTTAGTTACCTTGTATTTTTATACTTTGGAAGTATAATCTAAGAATCATTATCTTTTAAAAATATTACTGTTATAGAAGCACCTAGATGATATCTTAATAGTTGTTAATGGATAAGTCAATATTTCTCCTTTGCCTCTGATTTGTCACAGTGATTTTAACGAGATAATTAATCGATCTAGAAGCTTAGTTCAGACTTTATTATAAATTAATATTTATAATAGACACATTTTTAAGTGATAATCTCCTTGACACTTTTCTTGAAAGCTTTGTGCTTTTTTTATCAACGCTCAATTTATCTACTTCTTTTCTCCCTAATAAACATGTTCACTTGCGTGTCGATCATTTTTATAGCTAAAGTGGAAGCTTAAATATTTAATATGCAATATTTATCATATTAAATATAAAACCAATGTAAGATCATGTGCTTATAAATCATCTGTTCAATATTCGTGATCGTTTGTACACAGCTGATCTAGTTTACAAATGCCAAAAGTCAAAATTAGCATACGGTTTATTAATTTGCGAATTAAAGCCCAGATTAGCGCTTTCAAAGAGTCGCGTGTATCAAGCAGATATGTGCAGTTAGTTGATTTTCTCCGAGTTTACAATAAAACGTGCATTATTCAAACTATTAGGGAGAAAGCATTTATAATGAATTTCTGTACAACAGAATAATCTCTTTCCCGCGAATAATTGGTTTTCGACCAACTCACTCTAGCTGTATTTTATTTAGGCAGAATAATAGATAGAGATTTACATAATTGACTTTTAGTTGAGAAATTTTTGTTGTAAATTGCGAGTTTGTGAATTGCGCGCGCGTGTTACTTTTGTGCCTCTACATTTTAAATTTAATATTAGGAACGTTCTAAAATAAGGAACACACACACAAACACACATCTTCAGGAAGATAGCACGAAATATTCTTACTTCAATAAGGGGCGAGAAATTGTACGAGGAGATATTCTATTTAAGCAACACAGAGCTTTCTAATAGCAGAGTGTTTATATAGGGTTATATCAGGATAATGGAGTTCTATTATCAAAGGTTCTATATCTGCTTCTATTCTATATTGTTAGGAAGCCGAAATCGGTCAAGAGAAAGTCAATTTGCTATTTTATCTTGAGAAAGAATGTCAACATGACAAACGATTTTATTGTGTTCAAGCAGGTGGTCACCGGATAAATGAAGGAATAGATGTGCGCCGGAGAATGATAGTGTCTAGAGTGTCGTAGCAGTTTATTGCGGCACCGTGTTTTCTCAGGCGAGATCCCTTTCGGGAATTATAAATCACGCATCCACGAAAACGTTGTTTTTTTTTTTTATCGGCATGTGAACACATCGGAAAAACTGTCCCTCGAATGTTCTTTCCCAACGATGCAAAGCGTCGACCGATATCGAAGAAGAAGTCAAGCCTTCAGTTTCCCAACATAATATTACACTATTTGATTTAATATTAAATTAATACACGTTACATAGTTTTTAAAATAACTAAATTTCTTATTTATTTGGTTCTTTTTTCCCAAAATTTAATCCAAGTTAGATATTGTATTTAATAAAAGCTTTATTTTAACTATTAATTTTTTTTTCTTCTCTGAGATACTTTTATTATTTGTATATTATTTTTTAGATATATCATTCATATATAACGTGTTAAATATCACAAATAAACTTTGAGGCCAATATCATAATTTTTACGAATACTTTCTGTTAAGGCAAATTTGATTCCGTGCTCTGAGTTTTAAAATAAAATATCAGAGTCTACTGCACGAACTTGGTAGTTTCCCATTTCATGTTTTGCATGTTACGTTTATAATCATGTTCTACTTTCGTTAACAAATGGCAAGTGAAACAAGCTAATGGAAAAAAAACGGAGCTAAATGAAACTTTGATGAAATTTTTTTGTTTAACTATTACGTTACACTTTATTGCTTAAAAAAATATTGTTTATTTTTATTTTATTATTAAAAGTTTAATAAGAGTATACAAATTTTAGGGTTTTACACATATTTCTTAGAATAAAAAGAAGAGTTTTGAAGAAGGTGAATAATTTCCTGTTACAGGTAAGGCTGTTCCATTCGTGGAATTGACTGTGGCTCATGCTTCGGTTCTCACAATTTTAGCCATCAGTTTCGAACGCTACTATGCTATCTGCGAACCTTTAAGGGCGGGGTAAGTATACGACACTGCGCCTGGAATTATCGCAGAAAGCCGCGAATAATTATATAATATAAAATATTAATATAATAAATTAGAGAGTAGGTAAAAAGCGAATAATAAAGAGTTAGGCTTATCTGATTTAATCCTATTCAACTTATATGTTATATAGATATGTGTGCACAAAAGCAAGGGCAACCTTTCTCTGTTTCTTGGCGTGGGTGGCAGCGGCGCTGTGTACAAGGTGATACATAGAGAAAGAAACTTAAAAAAATCTGCAATTTGCTTTATTAATGCTCTAACCTTTCTTTACTTGTTCTTTTCCTTACTTTTTCTCTGGTTGACGCATGACGACGGGCTTTTTCACTTGACTCTTCACGTTCCGCTTTACGTCATCTTCACGTGACCGTAATACGAAGGCACCACCTACACACTTTATTAACTTCGCAAAGACTATGTTTTAAAACGTGCGCAGGAGTCGGTTATTTGATCTTAATTAAAACTCAATTTAGGCGAATATAATCCAAAATAAGTTCCAACAGTGGAAAAATAATTCCGATAAATTGAATATTAAGGAAAGGTGGAAATAAGGTTTATCTAAAAATTACGATTTTGTATTTTACATTCTTTGAATAACATTCTTTATATTTCTCGAAAAATGACAATACTTCATAATATTAAAAACTCTATTTTCAATCAACAACATTTGGCAATGTGACAATTCGACCATTGGTTTTGGTCGGATTAATCGTCACGTTTCGACCATGGAATTTGGTCTTTTCTAAATTGAACTTTATAATATTGTTTTCCTTTTGCTTTCTCGGATATTTTCGTATGTCGCCTATATATTGTACGATTTTCGTAACTAGTCATTAAAAGCTTATCGAACTGTATCCGTATATTTTTAAATTAATTACTAATTTGGTATAAATTTGAGAACTAAAAAACTGTAAAAAATTCCGAAAAAATTACTTTAGAATCGAATATAGGTAATCTAAAGTTTGGGTAAGCTGTTGCAAGTTAAGAATCAACTTACTTTATCAATTTATTTTTGTGAGAAATATGTACAGGATTTTCCATTTATTATTTATGTAAAAGAATTTTGACATTTAATTATTTAAGCTCTCATTTTTATTATTAATTAATGCTCCAGTTTTAATGGATGAAGAGAGTGATGAAGTACGACTATAAAGTAGTAGAACTTTTTGTTAAAATTAAAGTTGGAAAATCTGGAATATCTAATACACGTGTAGTACGATCCAAGCAAGGGAATGGTTGAAAATCAGTTTTTGACGACAATATGTCTTCATAGCACGAGTACGTGACATAGCGCTTTGTACACGTGTCTCCTTTCGTTTCTATAAAATTGCTAATTACGATGCATTGTGATGCATGTCATATTGCATGAGTGAAGCAACGGTTGACACAAGCTGCATTCATCCGAATGCAAGAACACACATGTCGCCTGCGTCGAGCTGTAGTGTGACAAGCTGCTCCCTTAACTCCATTATTCCATTTGAATCCACTTGATGTATTTTTATTTTCAAAATAGCTTTGTGTAAAGTTATGTTGCACCTAATAGTTTTAAATTTTATGACTCTTTTGGCAATTTTCCGTGTTTAGATTTTTTTTATGACATAGAGAAACAAATATGTCTAATAAAAATTAGGGTTCAGATATAGATTTGAGGGAATCTTGTGGTCAAATTGTTCGAATAGCTCGAAGTAGAAACGCTCGTGTTTCGAGTTCGAGTATTTCGTACACATATACATTTGGAATGGAACGAGCGGTCAAACTGCTTGATCGATCATCCGAAGATATTTAACTGTTAAAACGATCTAGAACTTAAAAATAATTCAAAAAGTACTTAGTTCATTGCAAACAGAAATCAACAACTCTTGTTTCCCTTTTTATAATATGTTATCTAACTTTATATTACTATTTTAGAATTCAGCTTTGAATTATTTAAATATTCTTTTAGGTCCTCGATAATCTGATTTAAGATTTAAAGTTTAAATTAATCGAAGAAATTTTGAACATATATATAAATATTAGAATATATTATACATAAAATATTAAAATATTAGACATCTCCATTTAAACCTATTAATATATCAAACGTGTACAGGAAACGGAAAAGCAGGATTTAGTATACGTCAGCTTAGCTTAGCTTAGCGATGAATTACAGAGATTTGTCATATTCGTCCTACGCAGATGTATGTCTTAGCGATAAGAGATGTTGATTTAACAAACAGCTGACTCTGTCCTGCAAGAAGAGAGAACTAGTTTTAGGGAGTCTATTAATTCTTCAAATTTGAGCCGTTATATTTATTTTTCAACGTCTGATTGTGCAATCAATTGTTTGAAAATATAAAAATTAAATATATCTTTAACGTATTATTATATAGTATTTAAGTACAATTAATATTATATAATTAATATTTGCAAAGCAACGATTTTAATTTACATTCGAACATTTAAATAAATTCTAAAGAGATAGGAAATATCGTCTTTAAAATGTCTCGTTAATGCGTTCAATGTGCGTAAGATAACATATTTTTTCAACGTTTTCAACGGTTTTTTGTAGAACAACGAAACGATATAATTTTTTGTAAGCAATTTATTACGTTACATTTTATATTTTGTTTAGCCTTTAATCCGAAAAACGAATAGAAAGATGAATATTCTATATCAAGCTATATCTTAGTCCGTTGAAGAATTATGAATATAGCTCAAACGAGACGTTTCGACAACGAGACGACAACATCAAAGGATCCCAATTTGCCGTTGCGTGCTTGTTCTCAATGGCAAAGTTAACGAGCGGCATTGTACAAAACAACATATTTCGCTCGTATTATACTCGAGAATACATGTCATGCGCAGAAACTTCGTGGTTCTAAATAGACGTTAGAAATTCCTTGTAGAGTCTGCTGAATTGTGGAGAATATAAAGACATTGAGCAACGTAATTGAATCCTTTTACTCTGTGATCCAAGATGCATGCGCATATTGACACATAGGGCAAGTTACGCGAGGCGTGCATATCACGCGCAAGAATTGCTGCGTATATATACAAGAATATTCCACTAGGAGTCACGCTTCTCCCGGAACTCTTAAAAAATTCTTTCGTTCTTTCGAGTCGAATCAACCACAATTGCGGACATTACGGAGAAGCTTATTGTATCCTATACAGCAATCCGGCAACAATAATGTGAACCCCATCAAAGTAACACTTCTTTACGTGTTCTTTACATATGTGGCCGTATCATGCACTCAACTCATAAAATACGTTGTAAAATGCGACAATAAATTCAGAGCAGCGGGTTTACACGATATTTACGCGGACTTTAAACTGTCGAGGTACTGGAGTATTAAAATTTCTTATAAGAACATCAAAGTCTAACGTGTCAGACGCGAAAATTAAAGTCCGGGCTTATCGAAATACCAATACTCCAGCATGTAGGAAAAAATGCACTGTAGGGATGAACGGTACCGTTATATCATAAAAAAGAAAAATCAATGGAGCAGAAACATACGGCCTTGCTCGCCGGCAGGCTTTTATCTCGGATCAACGCATTTAAACCAGCGCTATGAATGAACGAATTCACCAATATCCGCGAGTGCTCGATTGTGTCCTTGTCGCAATTTCCCTCATAAAAGGGATCCCCGCCAAGTTTATTCAAGGAGGGTGCCACTTGATATCCGTCGCGTAAAATGTACGCGATTATTATGTCTTTCCCGCGTGTGAATATGGCTAATATGCGTAAATAATCACGCGGAGAATATGCGGAGCAACGTACGGAAGAGGTGTTGATCGAACAACCAGAAATGTCGATCTTACGTCTGGTAAGAACAAGATCTTAATTAAGCCGCCATGTACTCCCTGAAAACCGTGTTACATCTTAAAGGACGTAAATAGCTTTAGTTAGTCTTGATAATTAAAGGCTTTTGATAAATTAAACGTCAGAAGTGCCGATAAATAATTAATAACAAGATCTTGTTTTACTATAATTATTTTTATATCTATTTTTTTATTTAACTTTAAATTAATTTTGACACACACACACACACAAACACGCGTTATGTAATTTTAAATAAAATTTAATTTTGATACCTACAAAATAAGAAAAATTTTTAACTATCGCGTGATTGTTAGATGAATACATGAATCATACATTCTTGATAAATAACAATATTTATATACAAGGCAAAAGTATTTCATATAGTCCTCTGTAGGGCTTTGAAACCATCAGTTTCGTGATATCGGTTGCATACTCGTCACGTGCTTTCGCTCGGAATGCACTTCAGCCAAAAGAATGAGGAAAGAGAAAAAGAGACGGGCAAGCGTAGCTTTTGCTCGGTAAACTCCAGGCAAACACATTTTTCCCTTATGCTGAAATGCTTCGTGATGAAAGCAGATACGTGTCCACACTTTTGTAAGATTGCAGACTATCGAGCATAAGGAAAGTATCACGTGTAAATATTTCTTATGAAAATGTGTGGATGACGTATGTCGTTATTCGAACACGTGTCATGCATAATGCATGTCTTGAGCATATGTTCGCGGTAATATGTAAAGCGAAAACTTCCATGCCGCAATGACAGCTTCTTGTCACAACGACTCCTTCTTGGCAACGTGTAACCTTTTGTGTTTAATAGAAGCAGCGTCGGTGCAAATTTCTTTCAGAACTTTATTCTAAATATTTTCTGCAAGTTAGAATATTATTAAACAATAACTAAACAATTAATTAATAGCTAATGTTGGTTTTTTTAAAGCAAGATGGCCATCAAAAATTCTACAGATGTCGGTATAATTGTTTATCAAATTTTTAACGCATCTTATATAATATTTCAAATCTTAAACATAGAATTAAAGTTCCAATTAAAGTAGCAATTGACTTATTAAAAGTATACGGTATTGCGCGCGCGCGCGTTAAATTGCAAAAATAAAAAACTTGCTATAAAAAATAAATTTGAAATTAATACATTTTTATTTGTAATGTAAATTTTTCATAATTAAAATACAATGATGATTCTATTTAACATGCTTTCTTCTTTTCAAAAAACGTTTCAAAACTTTCTTTTTAAAAAGAACGATTTATAAACAATATATAAAATATAGAAGTTGATAGGAAATAGAAATTTTGCATTAAAAAAATAGTTCAGGTATATTTTAAATTAACTTGCAGATGGATTTACTTGCAGTGCCAAATAAATTTTCACAAATAACTGTGAATTTATTTTT